AATCTGACGGTACTGCCGTTGGAATGGGTAATTCCGAAGCGTGAAATTCCCTCTCTGCCCAGGTGCATAGAGGAAATACCGAGTTACTAATTTGGGTCGCCCTGTTCACGGGGTACGTGATGGCCAAGGCTAAATGCGTCGCAAACGGCCCAGACGATAGCTGAAGGGTACGAAGAATGTGTTTTTTGCCGTTTTGAGGCTAGCGAGGCAACCCGCCACGATGGAGAGCCAGGATTTATGTCGGATTTCTTTCGGGCGTTTAGTCGCATGGTGGGCCAGTGTCAATAGGCGTCCATGGCCTATCGGCCTCAGGTGAATGGGACCGCGTAGAGGATGGTTCAGATCCTGACAAGGTCCATCAATATGTATGTTTCTGATTTCGGACAGCAGGACTGTGACAAGTATGCAGAACGACTAACGTTTGCGATGAACACCGCGCAAGACCGAGTCCGGAAGGAGACGCTGTTCTATCTGGTCCATAGTTGGGATGCAAGAGCCACCATCGAGGCTACCTTAATTGTGGTAAAATACGCGACGTCGGGGATCTGGGTCACGCAGATGGAGATATCATTCAGCAGCATTATCAGCGGGCGAGAGCCCAGGTGAATGAGAACCTACAAGCGGCCAGTCAAGCTCGTATTCTAGCCCATAACGAAAGGGTGATCGACCACAAGATCCATCCAAGAACTCAATTGTGGCTCTACCTGGACCAAGGCAGCTCCAAGCGGTCGACCAAGTTGCTAGAGGTCATCGTCACGACACCCAACGAGTTGAGTAGGTCGGCCGACCAAGTCGCCACCTCCGCTGCAGTGAATGATTTCACATGCATACCCAGCACATTTCGGTAGTGTAGGTGACTCCCCTAGGGCAAAGCCTGCCTTGGCGACTGGGGCGGGGCCTTCTTTCGCGCAATTGACTCGGCTTCTGAGTTCGGGGATCCGAATATGGCTTGGAATAACTATGGACCCGGAAGAGTGACCGGTCGGGGAACATAGTCGGCTAAGACAGCTGGGACCGGCGGATCGGTTGGCGTGGAGCGACACCGTGAAGACCGCGACCGAGCCAAGGTCGCCCGGACCACCTCGCTGTCGTCGCTTGCAGTGTCGTGTCATCCGGTTCACGAGAGGGTACCGAAGGTAGACCATAGGAGGTCTCCGATTTGGGAACCGACGAAGCGGGGGTACTAATGGTACTCGACTTGGTAGCCTTGGAGACCTTGGCGGTCGTCTTGGCCGATGGGCGCCGAGGTTGCTTGCCTGACATCGGCGAGGAGGTGCGGGAGCAGCCACGGAATATGTACGAGATTTTTGAACAGATTTGTGCTGTAATCCTCGTGCTCTAAATCCGCCATCATGAGAGCGTATCGGCTCTGGCGGTAGTCCATTCGCCACCGCAAATGTTCCATCAGCGCTCTCTCGTGCTGAAGTCCCTCTCGCAATTGGACCACGAGGTTGTTGGTGTCTAGCAGCTCTCTCTCGAGGCGCTCACACCTGTTGGTAAAGTAGGCGTCGAGAGAGGGGGCGGGAGTAGGTTGATCCTCTCACGCCTCAAATCTGCGGCTATACGCGCCTAGGCGGTCCTGTAGGTCGCGCAGCATCTAAGGTACTTCTATGAGTTCATTTATCGCAGGAGGATCACTCGACAAATCAATGGTCTGGACGCAAGTGACCGTCCTCACGGGGTACACCACAGCAGGGGAGCTGGAGGTAGACCGATAGTCAACCACGTCTGGTGGACTCTCTTCACCTACGGCTTCAGAACGGAACCGTCGTGGACTTCCTTGGTCCTGGCGCCCGGAGAGGAGTGTCGATCGGCATTCGGAAAGAAACCTGGACCTCTGGGTCAGCAGCAAGAGCAGGAGTGACCAAGACAGGCCTCTCGGTCGTTGGGTCTACCCCAGAGGAAGGAACAGCTAAGTCACATCAAGTCAGACAACGGATATCAAAACGCCAAACAAACTAGGAGTACTTACGGGATGGAGAAGTCGAATACATACGCGTGTTCAAGCGGCTGTACTGTTGACCAAGTGCAGATGGTGGGTGTAGTGTAGTTTATCAAGAACTGGTAGATCAGAGGCCCGGTGGGTCAACGAGAAGGGGACTTTCCAAAGAGGAGCGACCGTTGGGTAAGGGACAGAGAGACGGGGCGCTAAATGGGACGGGTAAAAACTGTTGGATGAGAAGAATGTACAGTCAAAGCGTGCTAGTTAGTCGCCATTCAGAGGAGATAACCGTCGAAAGTCCGATGAACCGCGGTTCCTCGAGGTGGACCCGGTATTTCAAGGTCGACCCTGGTCTATCATTGGTAGACCTCGGTCGTTCATAAAGGTAGACCTTGGCCCTTCGCTCGGTGGACTCTCCACCCTGGTCCCTAAAGGTCGACTAGGTCCTTCATCAATGGACCTCGGTCCTTAGTCGATAGAGCTTTACCCTTAAATCGATGGACTCTCGGCCCTTCGGTCCCTGAAGGTCGATCTTGTTCCTTTAACAATGGACCTCGGTCCTTAGGTTCATTTTATAAAGTGCAGAGTGATGGTGATTAGACGACTAGGTTGACAGGAAGATCTACACGATTTATATGTAAACTACATATGGATTAGGGCGTGAACAGTCGCCTGATTTGTATGTGGACTACATATAAACCAGGCTGTAGTTACAATAACCTCCGACTAAATCAATCGCTTTTAAATCTTCCAACTTCGGAGCAAGCGTCTTTCGCTCCGCTCTCTCTTCGGTCTCGTCGCTCCTTTCAGTCCCTGCTCTCTCTTTGCTCTGCGCTCTCCCTGTAACAGGTACGGTCACATCAACCTATTATGTACCCAAGGTACAGCCACACCAGCAGTGGTGTGTACAATACACACCTTTGTGTAACCACGTCACAAAAAGAGTCAAGTGTAGGGCTGGACTCATACACAACCTTGTTACAATCTCCTCTGGGTTAGCTCTGTGCAGCTAGTATCGTGCTCTTGCCTGCACAAGAAAACACCGGATGTGTACTTTTCGACACACATTTTATACTTTTACTTCGCGACGCTTTCTTCGATAGGACGACTTGCTCTGTTTGCTGCCAATTTCAGGTGAGTGACCCAGTCCTATATCGCTTTCTTTGCTACTGCCTTGTCCCGTATCAGCTCCCGAGTGGGACTTCCGGTACAGTTACAAGTTTTTGAGCTTTTATGACGCTGTGGTCATCTTCGACCACATCTGTTTCTTCGTGTACTAAATTATCGTCAGCAGTATCATTGGAATCTGACTCTAAAGTAGCAAGATTCATGAGCCGATTGCTGATAGCATCATCCATTCTTCGACTAATTTTTCATCTTCTGCTTGGCTTGTCGTCACCGCGTGCTTTATTTTATTCTTGTTGAGAAACCTCATGACTAAGCAGTCTTCCTGGCGGTGCCCATAATGTTTGGACTGCTTGTTGCCGGAATAGATATATCCATCGAATCATGTAAGTCGGTAGCATGTTACAACAGTTTGGTGTCTAATGCTTTGGTAACAGGTAGGGTCACATCAACCTATTATGTACCCTAATCTACAGGACAAATTTCAGATAAAACTTTAATCTGACTATTGGTATATTTTTTAAAAAAAATAAAATAGGAATTAATTTATTTTTAGAAATATTAATACATAATTCATTTTTGTAGATTGTATGATTTATTATAGGTAAAAATTTTAATAAATACTGACTAAATTTTTCAAATACTGTCATAAAAAATAATAATATAAAACTTAGAAACTGAATTATTTAATGAAGGTCAAAGACCTGCAATTAGTGTTGGTTTATCGGTAAGCCGTGTAGGTTCTTCAGCTCAAATAAAAGCGATGAAACAAATTGCTGCAATGGTGTGTACAATACACACCTTTGTGTAACCACGTCACAAAAGAGTCAAGTGTAGGGCTGGACTCATACACAACCTTGTTACAATCTCCTCTGGGTTAGCTCTGTGCAGCTAGTATCGTGCTCTTGCCTGCACAAGAAAACACCGGATGTGTACTTTTCGACACACATTTTATACTTTTACTTCGCGACGCTTTCTTCGATAGGACGACTTGCTCTGTTTGCTGCCAATTTCAGGTGAGTGACCCAGTCCTATATCGCTTTCTTTGCTACTGCCTTGTCCCGTATCAGCTCCCGAGTGGGACTTCCGGTACAGTTACAAGTTTTTGAGCTTTTATGACGCTGTGGTCATCTTCGACCACATCTGTTTCTTCGTGTACTAAATTATCGTCAGCAGTATCATTGGAATCTGACTCTAAAGTAGCAAGATTCATGAGCCGATTGCTGATAGCATCATCCATTCTTCGACTAATTTTTCATCTTCTGCTTGGCTTGTCGTCACCGCGTGCTTTATTTTATTCTTGTTGAGAAACCTCATGACTAAGCAGTCTTCCTGGCGGTGCCCATAATGTTTGGACTGCTTGTTGCCGGAATAGATATATCCATCGAATCATGTAAGTCGGTAGCATGTTACAACAGTTTGGTGTCTAATGCTTTGCTTGCTGCCAACCTATGTCAGCTAATTTATTCGTTGGATCATGCTCGCGAGCATTGATTTAATCGCTGCTTTTTCCTTACTAGCGACTTAAAAGACTGCCATCGAGAGGCCTTTTTGGGGTGAGTATCCTGTGCACACCATACACCTTGATGGTGGTCAACGACACCTCCTACCCTAGCGTTGCGAGACACAACAGCGACAATTTTCTCTGTCTGCTTGACACGATACGTCTCTTGCATTGGCCTTACACAAATTGGTCGTCAATCCTTATGCACTAACGTACTTGATGGCTAAGCACATATTGGAGTCAAAAGGTGCTAGACATTGCTACTCTGCTTATGTTCATTATATGGCTAAGCAATTGGAGCCAACAAAAGCTTTAGGGAACTATGCTTTTGGGCTTCGTGCCCGATGTAAGCATACCAGATCAAGCTTTCCCAAACATGTTGGATACACCCTTTTTATTTGTAGAAGCGTCTTATCTACCAACTACCGCTTAGATGTACGAGAACCACGGCATGAAAGATGGCTTGACATACATGTCCAGATAGTTCCCCTTCGGCTTGGCTGAGTTTAGCGTATTTTCCAAGGTTACCATAGATTGGTGGAATTGGGCGATGGCACCTTTCAGAATGGTCTCGCTGGAGAATGGAGGAGTAGTGTAGGCACTCAGCACTGATTGGGCCAGTGGAATCGGACGATAGAACTGTGCTGCCACGACAGACAGCGCCGGGAATAGGTCGGATGGAATGACATAGTCAAACGGGTCGACTTTCACCCCTTTTCTAGTTGGCAGTGGTGCATTGTACAGTGCTAGTGTACTGAATGGAGCCGCTTGGCTGTGCCATGTTACTCTGCCGTTCATGAAGTGATGTTTCACGGCGTTTCAAAACACCAGATTGGTAACGAGTTTGATGAGGTCTTGATAGCCCTTGAAGGCCAAAGGAAAGTGTTGACGCCCCAGACAATAGACGCTCGGACTGCCCAAGTCTGTAACTCCATAGCGCTTTGTATAGCATCTTCTGAGACGTAGTACGCTTTTATGTACTTAGTAACAAAAGTCTTGATAATGGAGTAGTACGTCGCGCCATGCTTGACGTAGCGGTGGTTTGGCAAGTACTCGAGCCCGTTCTTTGCGATATCAGAGGGACAATCGTCTGTTATTGACAACTTTTGTAGTTCGTCGTAAGCAGCACGCACGGAGCCACTTGCTCCGAACGCCACCGACCGATCGAACGGTGAATCAACCGAAAAAAGAACCAAAACGCTGAGGAATTCAAGACCTATGTTGCCAAAGAAATGGTAGTTCAGTAGAGCGTAAATCGGGTGGGTTTCCGCCATGCTACGCATCAGCTCAATCTGGATCGGGATCGACACCACATGCACTTCCACAAAGTGTATGATTTGCAGATAGTTGAGTTCTGTCGCATCTAGTGCCATCTTTGCCAGTTGCCACTCCCCTGCCGAGTCTTCTTTTGTGTACGTTAGACCCGAATCAACGATTTTGATGGCCAAAGGCAGTAGTACACCGGTTTCAATGTTGTTACAGAAAGAACTAACGACATTGGGCGCGTACTTCGATTTTGTCGTGTTTAAATCCGTGTATTGCCCCATAGTCGAAAAATCCTGTACAAATACTTTGTGGTTTAAGATTGCAGTATTGATGGTGCTTTCGCAACACACTTCACGAACCAACGAGTCCGAAAGACAGTTGAGAGGTTCTGACCACTCATTCAAGTTCACCAATTTGAGGTTGTAGCCGCGAATACCCAAACGTATGGCTCCAAAATTCTCGTCGCTATTGTCAAAGGCTTGAGGTATATTGATCAATTCAGCACTTTGAAGGGCGTCATAGGCCGCCTTGAAACTCTCCAGTGATTTGTACGGGCCTAACGACCGCAGTGTATTCTCGATTATCGATTGATTTTGGTTTTCGAAAGCAGATAAAGCTCCTACCTGGGAGGCCAATATCGAAGAGTATAGCGATGAATTTTTTTCCGTGGGTCCCGGGTTCTGCGGATAGAGCGTAGTTCCCACGAGGTATTGTCGGTCAACGTTATGAATGTTGTTGGAAACTTCGATAATTTTTTTCTTTTCGAAGCAAGTCGTTGGCCAGAGGAATACTCAAGGCTGCCAGAGTTGAAGGACAAATCAATGCATATGCACATGTCAGCACCGTGAAGATATCGGGCATTGCAAAGACGTTGTTGTGATGAAATCGGAAGAAAACGACTGAAGCAGGAGAATGAAAAATTGAAAATGAATGCTGTCCTTTGGAAGTTGAAAGGGTATTATTTGAGTCACACTAAGAAAGTGTCATTTTGATCTGTCTTAAATAATAGTTTGATGTGCGAGCAAAATAATTTGTTTTAGCTAAAGCTGGCTGACTTATGTATCGTGGTGTATCATTCCGATTTGAAACTGGAATTTTATAGGGTAGACGCTTGGGTCCATCATTGGACAGCATTAGTAGTGAGAAATGACATGTTTTTTCGGATGGGACAAAGATACTTGAGCGCGTATCTTCCAATATTGAAGCTAACAGGGACCACAATCAATCAAGAACGAGTTAGCATCTACGACAAGTGCTTCCATTTCTACATTGGGTCTTTTACATTGCGTTGTATGATGACTAGCAATTCACCTATATTATTCGCCTATAACCAACCCTTCATCGTTGCCAAGCATAGTAAGTCATTGTATTGACCAATAGAATGGTGCTATCTCAACTACAGATAGACTAAAGTATCCCGTACTACATTTACTTTTTTCAGACGAGACTAGAAATAGTGTCGCAGGTGCGATCACATCTCATCTTCGGCATTGAAAAGTTGTTAGATTTCATAGTCTTTCGCGCAGTAGTAAATGTATGGACGGCTTTTGTGTCATACGCCGTACTTGCAAATACAAAGTAAGCTTTTGCAACCTTTGCCTGTGAATCCACAGCCAGGATGCTATATCCAAAAGACTTGCTAATGGCTGCAAAAATCAATGCAATTACACGATGGTTAAAGTCATGCATGGACAGCAGCTAAGCCGACAGATGAAGATTGATATGTACTTTATCTTCACTGCACCTTAGAACTCGTGTCGATGTGACGTTGCAAAAGAATTTTCTAGCACCCGCTGCAAACGTCAAAGCCTTTCCAACAACTTCTCAGCTTTTTATGATCACGCATGTCTGCACCTAACGACTTGTTTCTTTACTCACCGACAACACTAACCTAAAGGTCATTTCTACCTTCGTCTTGCGTACCCTTCAAATCTGTATCCAGTGCTTCTTGAACATGACTTTGTAAAGAAGGCACGTCTGTCAGCAGCTTGAATCAGTAGCTCGTCCTTGAAAATGTGTGGATACAGTCTGCGGTACAGATTACGATTTTGTACATTGCCAGAGTAATTCAAATACTTCGACGACACCGATCAAGACGAGAAAGAATTTGTTTCCGGTTTGTCGCGTCCGAAGATTGTACTAAACTGAGCTGGGAAACGATAGAATGAGTCGCATTGCACGAAGCAACCAACGTGAACCGCATAAAGGTAGGGCAAGTAAAACAAATTAATCACATGTGTCTTTTTGCTGCGCTCTTCCGTCTAAAACTTAGACACGTCACGACCCACGAGGACTGCCTTAAGCCAGTCTAGTGGCACCTGTAGACGGAGTCGCCAGCTTCCCAGCTTGGTTAAATACGCACTGCGCCACAGAAACCAGGCTTTCCAGCCAGTAAGTGTTATTCGGCCGTCGTTACTGGGGTGGGCCTCAAAAAGGCCCTCATAAGAACCTAAGTATGCCATCATGCCCTTGCTCTGGAAAGTATACGGCTTCGCAGGCGTCGGATTCTTGCCACGGAGCAACAAAGTAAGGTAAGTTGCCTGAGACTGTGCCTTCTGGGCAGTAGCTGGCAGCGGGTAATCCAAAATCTCGGCGCAGTCACCAATTGAGAAGACGTAGGAGCGGCATGGCATTCCCCCATGGGGCTTTCTCTTCAACCTCTGCGGCCCCCAACACCTGGCAGTACTGATTAGTCAGGATGTTGCCACGCTTACTCTTCTCAAACACGGTGAGAGACTTGGTAAGCTCGTTTGGTCCCACTCCAGCAGTCCACACGACGAGACCAGCTGGAATCTTCTCGCCACTGTCAAGCGTAACACCGTTCGTTGTGACTTCAATGCAGTTCTTCTTGACAATTTTCATCGTGTTACGTTTCTGAATCTTGCGCAGCGCCACAGTACGCAAGTATTTGTCGAATCCGCTCAAAATCTCATTCGAGTCCACCAATGTCACACCTAGGTGCTTGGACGTCTCTGGGTACTTATGTACCAGGTCCTGCATCACCAAATCATACAGCTCTGCGCAGAATTCGATGCCCGTCGGGCCGCCTCCAACCACGACAAAATGCAGCAGACGCTGCTTTTCCTCCGGTGTCACGCCTGGCTGCGTAGCGAGCTCAAAGTTTTCAAGAATCCGATTGCGGATTTTCTGCGCGTGGTGGATCTCTTTGAGAAAAAAGGCATGCTCCTCTACGCCAGGCAATCCAAACGTTAGTGGCTTTGAGCCACAAGCCAGCACTAGGGCATCGTACTGGATGTTATACTTGCGGTTGTGACTCCCGGTGTTGATAGCCGACTCGACATTCAGGACTTTATGCTCCGGGTCAATGTCGCGCACGTTGGCGAGGTGAAAGTCGTCTTCGTGGCTGAGCATATTGTCACGTAGCGGCTCCATGATAGATCGGAACTCCAGTGTTCCCACCGTCGTACTAGCGAGCAATGGCGTGTACAGGAAGTGCTATATAGTCAAATAGAATAACGTGAGTATTTGAAGTATAAGTGATAGCCGAGACTAGAGCCGTACATTGCGCTTCGAGACGACGACAAGATCCACGGGTCGACCGATATTCTCCTCAATTTCTACGAGATGTTTGCGGCATTGGGTGAACATTTTGTAACCGGCCCAGCCCGTACCCACGATCACAAGCTGAAAATTCTGAGGCCTTTTCACTTTGTCCGACCGAACATCAAGCGACGTCGACGACGTGCGTTTCCACCACGTGATACTCGTTTTGCTGCGTGCAATCTTGGTCACGCTGGTCAGCTGACGTGTCCACATTCTAGAGAAAAAGGAAGTGGGATTGTCGTGTGGGAGTAAAGAAGGAAAGATTGAGTGGGATGATACGATTGGGACGGGCATTTTTGCCTAATCCAGACGCACACATTGGATTACGCCACATGCATTCCTCTCCCTAATGTTGACTAATCACATGTGGAGGGTTGTTTTTTTTGTCCGCGTAATTCTTTCAAGAACATAGTCTGATGGTGGTACAATGCTTCCACAAATAGAAACATAGCGTAGCGGTGGTATGACGTACTAAGCTTGGTAATTCCACCGACCTTGCGGTGCAGTGGTTTACCACTCACTTCAGGACCGAGGTCTCGAATTCAATACCCGGCGTCGAAAAAATTTCCTGAGTATAATGTGGAGTGGTCTTGTCCTGTGCACCAGCGCGTACTGGATAGCTCTGCCACGAGCTACTCAATCAAATTGGAAGGGCAAGTCCGATGTATAATCAATCACTAAGCTTGGTAATACCGTCTGTTGATGATTTCGTTCTAAATAAAACGTGTGAGAAAGATACCGTAGGTTTTCATATGTCCGCTGCGATAGAAACTACGCATTGATGACATGAGTGTTACGCTTCAATCTATGAGAAGCTGTATGATTTAGTGATGTAAACTACGCAGCACTGAAGCGTAACGATCACGCTCATGCGTTGCATGATCAAGAAGGAAACGCCGCAATTATTACTGCTAAAAATGGTATTTGCATTATTACGCAATGTCATTTCCACGATCTTCCGACGCAACGCAACGAGACACGGCCGGCCGGTCTTGGACTCGTTAACTAGTTTGACTAGCTGTCACGGCTGCAGGTGCATGATGCATATGCAATCTAGCAAGAGTTAAAGCATCTTCCTCAACACGGCCATCACTCGAACCCCTTCGCTATGATTCGGGTCATCGGCCTGAACGAAACGACGCGGTATTTGGGTATCAAGTCGGAACCGGTAATGCGAAGTGGACACTCCGATACGCTACGTGCGATGCCGCCTCCTCACAGCGACTTCTGTCGCGACTAGTATAGCAATTCGCACACTTTTTGTCAATACGATTCTGTTGCCTTCCATGCTCTTTATGGCTGCAGTCTTTGATATCCCGTGCTGGTCACTAAACGTCCTATAGACCCTATATAAACAGTTTATGAAGCAATTCCACTTGTCCCGGCCACCAGATCAACCCTGGCCTTCTACTTGCCCTACGTCGGGTGGGATGTTGGATTAGTCCCAATCCTACTCGCGGTCAAAACACAACGACAGAAGCGCGATTTGCAATATCTGACGCGTTGTTCGGATTACTGCACCGTCGCGTGGATCATGTTGGACGACGGAGTGGCGATCAACGAATCTCGCAAAGACCTAGATCCCATGAAGAAAATTTGCGCTATCGAAACGAGTCAAAACAAATCTTGCGCCTCGTCCCTGGCAAACTCCATGTACAGCGCTGGATAATTCCGCATTTCGATGATAAAAAGAAGCGAGAGCAGGCCGATGCCCCCATAAACGCTTGTGACGTCAGGCGAACGGGCAGATTTTACCGACTTTCCCACGCCACTGCCCCTCATGTTGCGCAACTAAGCGAGTGCTGTACTCCTGGTCTTGCCACACCTGGATGCTCAGTCAACGCATCCGGTGCCCTTACGCTTCGGCAGCCTCCGCCGTTACACAAGCTTTCTGTGACGGGTCACCGCCCCAGGCGTGATTAAAGGGTGACCGGTAGAATTGCGTTGCCACGACAGCACCATGCCGCCAGACGCAGGCCAGCACTGAGCTTCGCTGAAAATATGACGGGAATATGCCTTCGCTGGAGGTGCAGACCGACGAACTCCATGCCGTTTACAGCGCAATCTAAGGGACACCGGACTCGTCTTCAAATCGCATTCTAGCATCACAGGTTTCCTTAAGCCGCGCATTGGATGATTCTAAAGGCAGCCTGTTGCTTTACTTCAACCGACTAGCTTACGTCCATTGCAAATAGGACTTCGGCAAACCTTCATCTGCTATCACTCACCGTTTTGAGACCAAGGCAGCAGTGAATTGCTAGCAGCACGACCTCGTGGGGATCCCCGTCGGCTTATCTGCACGCCCTCACGGATTATCAAGTTGGAATTCATGCTAGATCGCTAAGTACCAACTGAACTTTTCGTACACAAGTCGAATCACCGGTCATCCGTGACCCACCGGGACCCGATCTGCCGGCGAGTGGAAACGTGAAAAGCACGCCTTGTGAAGCATCCCGTTTGCTCAAGCGACTTGGGCGCAGCCACTCGACGGCGCTAGAGTGCTGTCTGCGTGCTTGATACGTTGGAAACGCGCATGTGCGGCTCCAACAAAGTTGTCTCTCTTGTCCTACATCCGATGGATGGTATTCTGACGAACCGAAAGGCTTTGCTTCCTGTTAGGCTCAAAGTTAGACGCTTCTGTGCACGGTCGCTACTGCGAGCCTTTTGTCAGGCGAGATGATTGTGTCTTCCCTGGCGAACGTATGACAGCATAGGAATAGGGCATGCCTACTGGACTGATATAGTAGGGCAACTTGAAGCCGTCACCAGACGCGACCCACCACAATGCGGACGCTACTGTCATCCGCGGTGCCGCGTTACACAAGTGCATCGAGATCCTTCCTTACTGATCCTTTGTGCTAAGGAACCCTCTGACACAATGTTCGGTGCCGGCGTTTTCATCTCGGCTGCGGACATCAAGAGATCTTATTACCAAAGAGTAAACCAACTCATAGTGTATCTCTTTTTTTTAGACAATGGCGTAAAGACCCATTGTCACTTTGCTGCTTTTATGTAGCTAGCTATTCTGCTCGAGAATTAAAACTTGCCTATCCGCTTCGAGTAGGCGACGTTGCAATAAATAAGTTCAGCCCTTATTTTTGCATACGCATTCGACATTCATATTAGTAGTGAGTACAGTAGAAATAAGGTAACGATGATGTGAATGAAAGACTTGCAATATAGACTAAATAGAAAGTTTTTCTTTTACATTGATCCAGCAAGTGTTCTTGTTAAATAGCTGCTTTCTCTGCACTCTGTGTATGTGAGTCACACAGCACCTGCCTACACGCTTTGTAGTCTAAATAAGCTATACTATTATCAGTATCGACGGAGGGTGCCCTTACGATACTGCTATTTCCACTACTGATGATGTGTGACAGAGTTACACGAAGGTGTGTATCGTACATACACACCTGCCACACCAATGTGGTATGGCTGTACCTTGGGTACAAAAGTAGGATCTGAAGTACGAAGGGTTACATCGTCACGTAGTCACTATACTTATTTAAAGTATAATGACTATGCATGTTTGCATAATAATAACAGGCTAAAGAGCCAGTAAATAGTGACTAGCACTAAGTATAGAATAGGTGCTTCTATTTTTAGTGTTAAAAGATAGACATAAATACAAATTAGTTTCAAACCTGCTCTGTAAGCCTTACAGCTTCAGCGTTCGATTCCTTTAGAAGAAATCATTATCTTGATACCAGTCTCTCTAAGACTCGGTTATTACTACCGGTAGGCACAAGCTTACGAACTAGCCTAGGAGGGTGAAGAACCCTAAGACGTAGAAGCTCTCTGAACTTGTCGTCCTCTGCACATAGTGCATACGTAGCTTTGCTACAGTAGTTTGACTACTTCTTCTGCACATAGTGCATCCGCACATAGTGCATAAGTAGCGTGGCTACAGTAGCTCGGCTACACGATGCGTGAAATAGGCTCGCGCGCTGCTCTATATGTTTGCTTTTACAAATCTCCTGACGACTTTCATATTACTATCCAGTATATATACGTGCATCTCACTTGATGGCTTTTTCCATGTAGCTTTTGCTACAATTTGCTCCAGTTTTGCACACATTGAAGCTGGCAAGCGCTGAGATTCAAACGTTGAACCTGTGTATAAACTATTGAATTGCTGCAACTACCCATACAATCGCTCTGATCGCCTTGAAAAGAAAACATACGTTCCTTCAGTCCGACGTGCGACATTCTGAAGATTGTTGGATTTTTGAGCAAAAAAATTGTCTGAAAGTCTTTGATACTACATTCTAGGACATCAAGCATGTTGCTTACTACACAATAAGCCGTACGTCGCTAAGATATACATTACTGTGATGCAAAATTTGGTTGCGGATTCGTGAAACGACTACATCACCTATCTTGCTTTGTAAATGAAATCGAATCAGCCTATTAAGCTCGGGTGAGGGGGTAAAGTTGATTTGATTTTTGAAAATCAAGACAACATTTTGCAATCGTTTATATATGAGGCAAATCTAGAGACGAGATATGTCGCTGCGCATCACTTTTCGGCTGGAGCTGGCCTGAGACTGCCACATGAGTCTTTTGATACTCACTGTTCTCGGTGTTCGTAGTTAAGGAGCTTCTAGAATATACCTCAATCATAGAAAAACATATCGAAATGAACTCGTCACAGATGATCACTATGGTGCTTTTTATGTTCAGAATGTTTTTACGTACATAAGCAGTTTTAATGGCAGCATGAATTCCGTTGACCCGATGATGCAAAACTTGTAGGAAAAAGCTAGTTGGATGAGAGCAAATTTAATTCGATTGCTATTGATATTTATCTGTGCTTGCGAAGCTACCGTAAACGTTTACCAGCTATCTTGCCGCTTACTAGCTGTCTTGCATTTTACTAGCTTTTTTGCCGTTTACTTGCATCGTACCGTAAACCAGCTTCTTTCTATACTACTACTATCAATGTAGGGTCAGACAAGATCACGATTATACGCAACCGTACAGAACTGACAGACGCTTTCTTGCATGCATACGAGCCTTCTGCAAAGACCAGCCTCAAATACCTTACCATTTTCAACACTCCTCCTCAGATGCCGACGTGATGAACCATCGACTTAACGTCTTTTACAGCAAATGATGCTCAATAGCTTGGCTAAGACTTGTACTTGGCGGATAGGATACTTCCGGGAAATCTCATTCGTCATTTAATCCAACGACCGCGGCAAAATTGTCTT